GCCCGGAAACGTAACGTCCTGGCCAAGGCGGGGGCCACGGCGCCCTCTGGCGGAAACCCCGAACCTCTGCGAAGCCGGAAGACTTGTCAGCTGGCCGCTGGTGGCAACTATCTGCTGTGCCAGGACAAACCTGCCTCCCAGCTTCGGTCTCTCCTGTCTCAGTCCCGCGGAGAAGGCCCTTTCACGGGTGAATTCTTGCTGACCACCCAGTATTCCTCCTGGACATTACTGTCCTTGCAGCTTCTTCTGGCCACTAGCCGATACGGTCCTTGTCCACAACCATATAAACCCCTGAAGTAGAATCCGACCATCAAAACATAATGTGTCCACCTGCTGCCTCAAGTTGAGTCCAAGATTATTTTATGCAGCTATATTTCCCTAGCTTCTACCTCAGTATTTGTAAATGTTAAGTTCAAATAAATTGTTTATAATAGCCTGCTCACAAGATGGAAAGACCATGTGGTCAAATCCCCAAAGTCCATCCATCACTCTTCTAAAAACTTTCTAGATAGTTAAGAGCTGTTTTTCTTTCTTTTTTTTTTTTCTGCTTATATTCCTTACCAAGCCGGCTGTCCTCTGAACATGTACTTTGTTTTTGCATGGCATGTAAATATGTGGTGGGAAGTGGATTGCTTTGTACCCATTCATTCATTATTTTCACATCTCCAGTTTATGTGCTTCGTCTGTTTTTGAATGGAATTCCTAAAGAACTAATGAATTGAATTCTGTAGAGAATTTTTTAGACCATCTTACAAATATACACATTAGTATTATTTTTATTTTTGTAAAAAGAAAAGGACAAATACCTTTTTTGAAAAGTAGCCATAAATATCAGAAAATGACTATACAATAGCCATCTAGTCAAGAATTGTTGGCTTCTCTTACCCCAAACAAACACCAATTGCAAAATGTAAGAACAAAACTCAATGAGAAATCCAAAAAGGTAAACGGTATTGAAAGCCTCAGTTAAGCTTTGTTGCAAGTGACTTTGATAACCCAGAATGAGGTTCACTGCAGATCTCCAAGGTCTGAGGTCAGGGATCCTGGCTCACAAAAAGTGAAGGAAAAGAAAAGCAAAGCAAAATGCTGCTGCTTCCCACCCAAATCCTAGAGCTTTAAGCAAACTGCATGGCTGTGGAGGGTGGAAGAAAAAGAAATACCCTCACAATAAAAAGGGAGCCTGCTGTCTGGGATTTGTAGACTTCTAATATCACCACAAACAGGAGTCTGGATATTCTCCAATGAGATTTACCCAGAGTTGGAGGATCATGATTGCTGGAGACAGAAAGCCAGATGTTAAGGTGAGAGTTATTTCACTGAAACCTGGTGCTGTATTTAGAGCTGGTCTGGAATGTTGTGTGATTTCAATGAGAACGGCCCCCATAGGCTTCATTTGAATAATGTGGTTCCCAGTTGGTGAAACTGTTTGGGAAAGATTAGAAGGTGTGACCTTGTTGGAGGAGCTTTGTCACTGGGGGTGTGATGGGTAACTGTGTTTAAAGGTTTAAGAGAACAATAAAGCAAAATTGAACTCCCAAATGTTATGTGCTGTTAATGGTTAATTTTTGTAATTGCATAACTGCTGTTTCTGATTCATAAACAAAAGCTTGATTGCAGGAAATCAAGACAAACCCTAGTTTCTGGGTCCAGATCCCCTTCCCACTTGGGAATTGTCTCTTTAAGTGTTCTGTGTGTGTGTGTGTGTGTGTGTGTGTGTGTGTGTGTGTGTAAAGGAATCCATTCCTACAACCCTGGATGACATTATCACTGCCAACAACTGTGAGCCACTAGGAGAGAGGCACAGAAAAGATTGTTCCTTGCAGTCCTAAGAAGGAAGCAACACTTCAGTGTAGCAAGCTTTCTTGTTAGACTATCTTTGGATCACCAGCCCCCAAATAATGACATGGAGACTTCTTATTATGAAAGCTTGGTCTTTAG